AAAGATTTAAGAGATTTTATTAGCCAATTCGTTATAATAGAAGTATTTTTATTATATTAGTTCAAAAAATTCATTATATCAAGAGTTCATTATATCAAGAGTTGATTGTATTTGATTTTTTTTTAATATTAATTATAAATTTATATTAATAAAAAAGATTTATTATTTTTTATTAATATTAATTATAAATTTATATTAATAAAAAAGATTTATTATTTTTTAATTAATTATTTTAGAAAATTTTATTTATTTAATTAACTAAAATTTAAATTATAAATTAAATACTTTAAATTATAAAAATATATTCTTCATTATAAAAATAAAGAAATATATTAATTTAATTATTCTTTAAATTTATTAAATACTAACTATTTTAATATAATAAAATTAAATTAATAAAGATACTTATTTAATATTTTATTTATAATAATAATTATTTATATAATCTTAAATTTATTTCAGAAAATAATCATTTATTAAAATTACAATTTAATATAAATAATATTTTAAAACTTTATTTTTTATATAATTTATAATTAATAATATAAAATTATTATTGATTAAATTTAATTAAATTATAAAAATATATATTTTATATTATTAAATAATAAAGTTTAATTATTAAAAAGATATATTTACCGTATTCCTCCGAAAATAAGCATTGCGTGATATATATTAAATTTTTTAGTATATACGTGACAAATAATATAATAAATTTCATGTAACAAATAAATAAATTACTATAAAAGGAGCATGTTACAGGATGCTTATTTTTGGGAATATATGGTAATTTTAATAGATTAAATAAATAATATCTTAATAATTTACTATATAAAAATTTTTTTTAATTGTTACTTTTTTATACATTATAATTTTAAATTATTTTATTAAATATAATGTTTATTTTTTCATTAAATAAATTTACTTTAATTAAATAATTTTTTATTTTTAATTAATAGTTTTTATAAATATATTTTTTTAAATCTAAAATTAATTAAACTAGTTTAAGATAATAAAAATTTAGTTTTAATAATATTATTAATTTTTTAATAATAAGATTAACTAATTAACATTTTTTTTTTTTTAATAAAATTTTTATTTAATATATATTTTTATTTTATATTTTTTCTAATCTATTATTAATTTATTATTATAAAAATTCTAAAATATAAATAAATTCAAAAATTTTTAAAAAAGTATTTTATAATTTAGATAAACTCAATATAAAAAAAAAGATCTTATTTTTAATTAATAATATATCACTATATTTTAATTTTAATTTTAGTTTACCAAAAATAATAAAATAAAAATAATAATAAAAGGATTGATTTGAAATATACTTTAATATTAAATATAAAAAAAATTCAAGATAATATATAGTAGTTATTATTAAGCTTTTAAAAATTTTTTTTTTTTATTAAATCTTATTTATAGGAAAATCAAATTTTAAGAGATTGTAATAAATAAAATAATTACAGTAGATCAAAAATCATAATAAATTAAAAGAAAAGTATATTTTAAATATATCTTAACTTTAATTAATTCATATTAATATAGCTTTTTTATCATCTAATACTTCAAATCATTTATATTGTCAACGGAACAATTGACTAATCATAATGAAGTCATGTGAATGACACAGTATAACGATCTTCTAATTCAAAATTCTGAAAATACTAAGGATCTACGTAATTCTATAGATCTTCTAAATACTAAGGATAATTCTAATTTTATGAATTAAATGAAGTTTAAGAATATTTAATGTTATACTTATTCTAATTTTTATTATTATTTTTATTATTTTACGTATTTTTATTTTTCTTATTTTATTTACTAAAATAGTTAATTTATAGTATAGTAAATAGTTAGCCATGACAAAAAAATTTTGTATAAATAGATAGATGTTATAAATTAACTCTCTTGCAAATACGAGTTTCAATATTAATAAAGGAATCATTTAAAATTTATATCTTTCTTCCTCTTCGTGTCTTCATATAGTCTAACATAATTTCTACATATTATTTGTAATTGAGTTCGTCATCTGAATGCTTTAATTAAATTGTTCATAATCTCATCTTTCAAGTCTTCATACTTGATAAGATTTATTTAAGTTTAATGTATAGAATTGATAAAGTTAAGAGTTAGACAAATCTTAACATCTTAACCACAGTAAATCGCAATTAGTAATTTTAAATAAAGACTTGATAACGTGATCAACCTGAGTTGAAAAATTCCACAGTAACAATACAGTAACTTTTGTTATAACGAACTTTATGTCTTAGACCTCAGAAATTTTATTAGCCAATTCATTATAACAAGAGTATTTTTATTATATTTATTCAAAAATTCATTATATCAAGAGTTCGCTATATTAAGAGTTGACTGTAATCATTTAAATGCTAGAATTATTGCAAGTTTTTAAATTTATTATAAGCGTAATTATTTTTATTATATATTAAAATTTGAAAAAAGTAAAGATATTAATCAAAAGAAGCTTAATATTAAAAAGTAATTAATTATTTAGTAGATGCATTAAGAAATCATTTACAAATTGCTGGATAAAAACAGAAATATTATTTTCTTAAATAAATAAAGATAATATAGATGATAATATAATATAAAATCAATAAATAATAATTAATAAAGAAGTTACAAATATTGATCAAATCATTAGAAAATTAATATAAAATTTGATTATTATACAATTTATTAGTAAATATAACTAAGAATTATTTTTATAATTTAAAAAAAATTATAACAGAAAAATTTTAAATAAAGAGGATATTATACAATTAATTTATGATAAAATATATAATAAAAATAATGATAATATTTCTGAAAATAGGTTAATAATAGTAAATAGATAAATTTAAAATAAAAGGTAGGTAAAAATATCTTAATATTGAATTGTAATCTAGAAAGTAATCTTTAATAACTATTTTAATAAAAATTGATATTTACCTGCTAATCAACTTTAAATATGTTCATTTTATTAGTATAGTTTGGTAACAATGCTAAAATCATGTTATAAAATTAAAAACAACCATGCATATGACAGTAATTTGATGTAAAAATATCTAAATTTTCATCTGAATCCTCTAATAGATTAAGTTTCTATTTATTAAAGTATAAAGTAAATCACATGATATTAGTTCCCAAAATACTTAAAACGGAGTGATGTGCAAATCTTATCCATATAAGTAGGATGTTAAGATAAAATTGGAAATTTTTATGGGACTGGCTGTCCTAAATCCTAAAATTTTAAATTTTAAGAAATTCTGGGATTTCCAAGAGGGTTCTTCTATCATAGGAGCGGTAAAAAAGTTCAAAATATAGAAGAATAATATGTAAGCTGTGATATGATACTTTCGTTAAGAGATTCCTTAAAACCAAACATACAGTATATTTGGCGAATTTGATATTTTATACATCCGTAATACTGTTAAGTATCTCCTTTAGTTTTGAATTATTGATGCGTAATGATTTAAATAATAGAAACAATTATATAATGTAATTAATATACAGCGTTTAATTTATTTATAAATGAAATACAATAATGTGTTACATAAGAAATAAGAAATATATATTATATTAAAATACAATCGGAGCGCTGGATGACATACCACCAATACCACCAATACCACCAGGATCACCATCATCATCATAATCCCTATCGCTCATTATCGTAGAACAAGTCGAAATAGGGCTTGATACGATAGTACTCGAGCTCTCCGGCGTGCTTGAGCGAGATGATTTTCTTTTACCTGTTTCGAGTACCAATAAGATTTTATTATATTGTCAGTCTTTAAAGTAAAAAATTCTTTGCACAAATCTCTATTTAAATTTTTCCATGAAATTCTTCCATTTTTCAACTGGTTTTTGGAAATCCAATTATCTATAAATTTTTTTGCTTCTGTTAAGTTTCGCATGGTTTACTATTAAATGGAAAAAAAGAAAAAAGAATCTTTAACTTGATTAAGTTAATTTTAATACATATAAAAAAAAAATTTAGAATATATCTTACTTAAAGAATTAATTTTATTACGAAACCGGTACCGAATTTGATGAGCACTACATTGTGGAAAAATTTGGGCAATCCTTCGGTACGCGTTTCTTTCATTTCTCATTGCCATTACGCAATCGAGGATGATTGAATCCTCCTATAAAACAAATGTAATAACCTTTTTAATTTAAATTATAATAAAAATAATAGTTTCATTTAGTTAAAACGTTTTGACTTACGTCGTTACCACTTTGGTAGTTAATATTATCGTATTTGTCCTTACGTGTTTGAACCATATTAAATATGAAGAATGGAAAATATATTGATATTGTTTTGTAATTAAGATATTTGGCTTAAAATTTCTTTTTTTTTCTTTAAAAAAAAAGGTAAATTTAAAACGAAAAATTTCTCATCGTATATAAATTGATTTTTATTTATGTTTATTTTAATTTAATTCCAACGTGTCGATTAAAAGGAACCAATTGGAAGGTTGTCAATATAAAAAAATATTCTTTTGCATCAGCTACAAGTCGCAATTTTACTTTTTAAAAATGATTGATTGATTTTTTTGTAACCCTTAAATTTTTTTGTTAAAGTTAAATGGCAACAATACAACTTTCTCATGATATCGGAATCCTAGAATACATGTGTTTGCAGTGCATCGGATATATTAAAGTATATTTCGTGGTATATAATAAAGTTCTGCATATGATGAATCAACTATCTTATTCAGATGTTGATTTAAAAAATATTGATATATAATATAATAAAATATGATATCAAATGGATAATTATTGATTTTAAAAGTATTAAACGGGGCGGTACACATCACTAATTTGATTTTTACGAGAAATTTTGAATTCGGCTTCGCTTTTCAAACTGACACAAAAATTATATTTTTTTTTTTTTCAAGTCGTGATATCTATGTATAAAATTTTTTTAATTCTAGTTGTACTACATTTGTGCTACAATCAATTCAAGTCTAGAAACAAAGAAAATGGATAATGAAAAGAATTCCCTTCATTTCTTGATATCACAAACACAAACTTTAAAAAATTTTAAGATTAACACCGAATCTACTAATCAAACTCTTAAATTCGTTTCTATGGTCGGTAATTTCGCTATATTCAGATTTGTTTTGCAATTTCGCATGTGCCAAGAAATTTAACGTTGATCCTGTTTAATATATTATATATATTTTTTTGTAATAATCTTATAGCTTGCCAATTTAGCCGAATAAAAATGTCATTTGAATCTAAAATTAGTTAAAACTAAAATGTCGCATGATAACTCCCGCAATAAGGTTTGTGAAACTTCAACATTTTGATAAATAAATTATATTTTACTTGTGATTCGATATATACAGTACATTATTATTATCGAAGAAAAAAAAAATCATTGGCTTTACACCGACCGCATCCCTCAATCGCAATCGGCAGAGCATTTGTTGTATGAATAAACAAATAGGAGACATGAAAAAAAATTTTTTCTTCTTAGGAACGGTATAAGTGAAGAATTTTTTTATAAAAGATGTCTCTTGTAAGGTAATTTAAGGTAGAATAGCCATCAATGCTATAAATCTGAGGTGTTGACTCTAAAAAGGTCATATTTAGATAGATTGAATTCGTGTAATTCCCGAGTCCGGCAATTCTAGAAATATGGTACGTACTTAAGCGTAACATTACGTTTTAGATATTAATATATTTTTTTTTTTTTTTAGGGAATATTAGGAAATGTCTCATTCAAATTTCGAAGATCGTTTCATGTACAGTGGAATATTATCTCGTGCAACAGTTCGATATCGGTTTAGGAACGCATTTACGTGGACAGGAGCAGAACCTGCTCTTAATAATATTATTGGATCGAGCCTCTGACAAGAATAATCATCATAGTAATGATCGTAGACAACGAATTCTACCATTTCATTTATCTATAGCGCGAAGATTCGTCGTTATCTTACAACCTTTATAATGACTTTCAATTTCTTACATTTTTATCGTTGTCAATTTTTTCGTTCTTGGTAAATTATTTTTCTATATATTTTTATTAACAATAAATTTTTTTTACAAAGAATGAAAAGTTGAATTTTTTTTTTGATGATCATCTTAGTTAGTATTAGTGAGATAGTTTTACATTGATAATGAATGCGAGCACATGTACAATGCTATGAATCATTCCGCCAGGGTAGATTCCATTTCAAAGTTGCTTTCACAACTCTAACTCTCATATGCATTAATTAGATGTCGAATCGCCGCCGACTGAGAGTACGCGAAAAAATCATTTTTTGAAATTACAACAGAATTCCTGATATTAATAAGAGAGCACGATAAAAGTTTCGTAACATGCATGAACTTTAACAGAACGGTGCGGTGATAATTTGAATATTTAAAGTAAAAATACATATAATATTTCCAAAGTTGGATAATATTAATGGCTATCCCTAGGCCATTAATTCATAAGCATATAAATCTTACTTTTTTATTACCTGAAATACTTCATAATCTAAAAGAATTTTTTTAATATTATTTTTTTCAGCAAAAATA